TAATGCGTTTCTATAATATTAATTCGCTATACCGTACGTGTGGTCATGTGGTATTACTGTTTCCATATGATATATAAAGACCAATTATAAATATACGAAGGGGTGTACTTAATAAGAATATTTTTTATTTTAAAATTAAGAGAATTAAAAATATAAATTAATATAATTACCCATGAATAATTAAAATTAAAAATAGTTAATAATTATATGATCACTTAAAAATTATATATTTTTATTTTTAATTATTTAAAAAATTAATAATTTATATTTACTATTTTTATATTCATAATGGTCAAATAATCTTACTTAATACATTTCCAACATATAAAAACCAAAATATTGATGTATCAATAGTAAAGTCTTTTCAACATTTTTTTTTATATTTTTATTGAATTACTAAAATATATTATTCATATAATATTATTTTGTTATAATATCTTTACACTAGTATAATATTGTCCACTTTAGTACTAAATCTTTATGCTTTTATTTTTTAAAATCATTCAAAAGGCTTTATACTAATAGAGATATCTACTGTACTTATATGTCCTTAATCCAATGATCTTTTCAAATTTTAGTAAATGTGAGAATTTGTTCACACATTCCAATAATCTTTTTCTCAAACAAAATCTTTTAACACCATAGTTTTTCCTGGAGGGCCCTCACCCTTTTCTAGAGGTCTACCCACACAGGGCCCTCCTCTGGCCCTAGTTGGAAGATTCATCATCTGGAGTTCACCTTATGTATCCACATCCACGTGACACTATCTGGGAATCTAGATTATGATACCACTTATTATAATAAGTATGGACTTTTTACTAAATCTCTACACTAGTATGATATTATTTACTTTGAGCTTAAGCTCTCGTGATTTTATTTTTGGACCACTTGTTATAACAAGTATAGACTTTTTACTATATCATTACACTAGTATGATATTATTCACTTTAAGCTTAAGCCCTTATGATTTTATTTTTGTTCGCACATCACAAATATCTTTCCCTCAAATGAAGTCCTTTAGCACTAGAGTCCACTTGGAGGCACCCTTACCACACTAGGCCCTCCTCTAGCCATATTCAGGTGATTCATTACTATATTTTTTTTTTCCCCTCAATTCTAGTAAACGTGAGACTTTGTTTGCACATCTCAACACATTGTAACACGCATTAGTCTTGAGATTAAACATAAATCACATGTTTAATGTGAATGAAGAAGATGGTAAGGTAATAAAGTTGAGAACAAATTAATGGTGGCAGTATTCATTTTTTAACGATAAAGATGATGATCAACATTAAAATCATATGTTTAATTATTAATTATTTTATTTTATTTATTTATTTTAGTATTTATATAAGAAACTGTGAAAATAAAATAAATTTATTTTCAGCATTTTTTACAAATATTTTAAAATAGAAAACAGAATAAAAATGAAAACAGAAAATATATTTGGAAACTAAAAATTCCTTAACATTTTTTATTCAATTTGAGAAGATACAAAATGAATGAAAAAGATGAAAAAAAAGAAAGAGGAAAAGGCAATGTAAGGGGAAGAAGAGAAACGTTTCTTTATTTCTAAAGGAAATTTTCAGAAAGTTTATCGATTTACAGAGAAAGTTGAAGGGTTTAGAGAAAAGAATTATTATTTTTATTGGTTAATAAGGTTGAACGTTTGAAAAAATAAATATACTATTTAGTTTGAAAAATGTTGCACGAAGCCTGTGACTTACCCCTGAATTCTACCCATAATTTCTATTAAATAAAATGTTTTTTTCTCTTAACTAATACATAACTAATAAAATCTATTCGTGTTTATTTATATAAATTTTTAAATGTTTTTTAATTAATCTTTATATTATAAATAGAAGTAAATAATTTAAAAATATGACTGTAAATTTTAAACTCAAAAGTACCGATTGATTCACGTGGATGATATGTACTGATTTTTTTTAAAATAAATAAACACATGATTTAATAATAAAAGGATTTATATTTTGTAAATAATTATACATATAATAATTTTATTATTTAAAATAATATTTTTTAAAACTATTTTTTAATTTTATATTTATGAATAATATATATTTAAAGATATTATAAAAATAAATAATTTTAAAATATAATCATTTTGAAATAATACTTTTATCATGTCAAAATTTTTGAATTAAATTTTAATAATTAATTTATATTAATAACTATAAATTTAAGAAATAAAATTATTAAGAGTAAACATTAAATTTGAAAATATAAACAAATTAAAATATTTTTTATAAATATAAAATAGATATATATAAAATATTATAAATATATATAAGGTAATAATAAAAAATATAGATAAAAATAGAATCATTGTAATAGAAGAAAATGTAATTCACAATTTCACATATCATTCTCATCGTAAAACGTTACTATAATAAATTGTTAAAAAGAGTAGCTCCACTAATAATTTATTTCTTAAATAATAGATTGTTATTTACATAAAAGATATATATATATATATATATATATATATATATATATTATTTTTTATTTAAAATTTAAAATTTTTATTATATTTTTATGTATAAAAAAATTAATTAAAAAATAACGATGAATGGCTTAAAATTTAACTTAATTTATAATAGAAGTTATTTTTAAATGGGGTAGACTTTAAGGTTATATAGAAAAAGGATTAGTTAAATTTCAAGATTAATTTAAATAAAGCTAAAGTATTTAATTGTGAAAGAAATTAAGTTTAAGAATTGATATACTAATAAGATAAGATATGATAATTCAATAACAATAAAATATGACAATAATTAAATAAATTTTTATTATATTTTATATGTGATGCAAACTAATACAATAAATTAAACAACATTACATTATTACATTTTATCTATTTTTAATATAAATTTATTTATAAAATAAGAGTTAACTAGAGAAATAAATAATATAAGTCTATGGTTGATAAGTATATATTTTGACACATTTTTATAGTTTATATATTTATGTTTGACCTTTATTTTAATTGAGTTTTATACTAATATATATATATATATATATATATATATTATGCAATTTAACATAAAAAAGTTATAGTAAAATTTTTAAGTATATTGGTTAAAAAATAGAGCAACACACAGACTTTAGCATAGGGTGCTTCGAACCTATGCACGTCCCAACTCTTAGGGCTTTCAAACCTTATTAAAGGAGTCTTAAGAACGATAATTAAGACATCTTTGATTAAAACTTTAAACACACTCTTTTCATCTCATGTTTCACATATCTTTTTTTTATTGGATCTCTGGCTCATTCTTAGTAGAATTTGGAGCTTGGAGCTTAAAATAATCATAAACTCATCTCATCCTCAATATTTAGGGATAATCTAGTTTACTTTTTTCTGTACATTTATTTATGATTGTTTTAATTATTTCCTTTAATATAAATAACTAAATCTATAACTAAGATTATGAGAATTTTTGTTCATAAATTTACGAAGTTTTAATCTAAATTTGATTTACATCCGTGATCAGTATTTATTCTATTGCGCTTAATTGTATGTTGTGAATTAATTACTCATAACATAACACTAATTAATTATATTGTTAGATAATCATATTTCGATTAATTAATGAATCTATAGGATAAAACGAGATAAGTGATTAAGTGGACTACGCTAATTTTTCTCTTCTTATAGTTATTAAATTAACATGTTCATAAATATTTTTCTATTTTCTTGAATTAATATATTACAAACCCTTATACCGTAGATTCCTTTCATATAAGTTCAATTAATTATTTTTATTAATAATTGATTTTATAGTTAAATTATTACTTTTATTTAATTTCGTATTCTTTAAATTCAAACAATTAAATTAAAAAATTCTCAATAATTAATATTTTTTTTCGTTAAACAATAATTTTGAGAACTTAATTTAAAAACTATTTATTACTTTTCAATAGATAAACTTAGTTACAAACAATAGAATATACTTTTTATATCTTATTTATTAAATAAAAAATTTAAATATATTAATTTTTTATTATAATATTTTATTCTATTAACCAAATGATCTTTAAATATTGTTTGGTATAAAATAAAAAATTATAATATCTCTTCATCTAATAGAGTTGGACACCATATATGTAAATTAATAAGTAAAAAACTATTTCAACCACTTACAATGATTGCCTTAGTTTACATAAAAAAATATTACATTTACATAATTTACATTAAATTTATTTTTATTAACTTTTCATTTATTTCATCTACACGTTTCGTAATTTTGGTAATTACATGAAGTTACTAGATATTTTTAATAATTAAATTAACATCAAGTAAATTTTTATATACTAAATAAATATATACTAAACATAAATACAAATATTTAATGTTATTTATAATATAATAAAAATAATTAATAGTATATAATAATTTATAAATCCATTATTAAATATATTTTATTTATATGATATTTTATATTTTTTATATTATTTTAATTTTATTATTTATATATTTCATCCATATATTCCTCAAATTTTTATTTTAAACATTTTAAGTTTGTCTTAAATATTTATTTTTAATAATTAAATTGATATAAATCCAAATTGTTTGTTCAATAATTCATTTAATATTTTTATTAAATATATTTTAACATAAATAAAAAATACTTAATATATAATATATTATAAATTCATACGTCTTACATCAAATAAATGTAAAATATAGTTATTTAAATAGCTTAAGGAGCTTTTTGGTAATTACATGAAGTTATTTAAAAATATAGTTTGTCTTTTTTGGGCACTGCCCCTATGATTATAAAAGAAAAAAAAAGATAAAGGAGTACAATCTTATTTCTAGAAAATATAAAATTAAATGAACGAGGAAGAAAATAGGAAAGCTCAAAGAAAAATAGAAGGAAAAGAAAAGGCAAGTAGAAGGAAAAGGAGAGGCAGAGGCACAAAAAGCCCTTCACACTGTAAAAAAAATTATAAACAAGAAAGAAAGACACATTACATACATACACACTTGGTTTTGCTGCCTCTCTCCTCTCCTCTCTCTCCCATATTCCTAGTTTGAGAATTCAGATTGATCAATTCAAACAAACCCCATTGAAAAATAGATCATACTCTGCCAATTCTAATTGAACTCTCTCTCTCTCTCTCTCTCTCTCTCTCTTTCTCTCTCCATGTTTATTTAGTGCCCCTTTTGTTTTGCATCATCCAATCAATCACTGACCCCTCTTTGCTCCCTTCTCTTCATTGCCCACATATTTTGTTTTCGCAAAGTTTGTGACTTTGGGTTGCAAAGATGAGCAGTGCTGGGTTTAGGGCTTCAATTCCGAGCAGTGTGAGGAAGACGATCCAGAACATCAAGGAGATCACAGGTAATCACAGTGAAGAAGATGTCTATGCAATGCTCAAGGAATGTTCTATGGATCCCAACGAGACCGCTCAGAAGCTTCTCCTTCAGGGTATCATTGTTTTTCTCTCCTTTCCCTTTTGCCCTTTCTCACTTAACTTCCTATGGATTCGATCTTGATCTTAATCCCTTTTTTCTTGTGATCCATGTGTTGGACTATGTGTTTTCTCATCTAGGTTTCCTTTGTTTTGTTTTGATTCTTTCTTTTTCTCCCTTTTCTGTAGTGGGGTGGAAATAGGGGAATGATTTTGTTTGCTATGATGGCTTTTCACTGTTGACACACTTTCGTTAGGCTGAGATGGGGATTTTTTTGACACCCCTTTTGGTTTGAGGGCCTTTGTGTAGCTGGGCTTATTGAAAGTTCAGATTTTGGAGAAAACTTTCAGACCTTGATATGTTTGGTTCATTTGTTTAGGTTATGGACTTGGCTCTTTGTGTTAGAATGGTTTATCGTTTCATTTGGGGTTCATCTTCCATTGTCTATTTGCTCGTTAATAACTTGAGAGCTGCTTTTGTGTTTAAGCTTGTACTATGACTCAATCTCAGTTTATTGATGTTTTGTTTTGTGTGATTCTTGGTTGCATGAAGTTTAGAAAGTCAGTTATCTTGGTTGCATGCAGTTAACCTGACATTGCTATTTCCTTGCTTTGTGCTGTTTGTAAGGATATTTTGGGGATAGGACCTCATCTGTTTTTGCATTGTTGCTATGTCTTTACGAAGAGTTTTTTCTTGCAGTTCTTGTAAAATTTGGTGTTTCTGATGATATGTGTAGGCTTTGGAAATAATTAGGCTAAAACTGAAGTTATAGCAGCATAGCAGATCTCAATGTGATGCTATAACAAAGAAAGTGGACTGAGTGGAAACACTTACAAATTTTGTAATGAACACATAATTGATAACTGCATTTGTTTTAAAACTTTAGTAAAAGAACTGGAACTGGAATAGAGAAAATATAGGACAGGATCACAGGAATTATTTGAGAAAAAGATCAAGCTAACTAATTTATCATGATTCATGAGCATAGCAGTTAAAACTAAAATCATATTTAGCATAGTTAGTACAACTGTAAATGACTGAGAATAACCTACAAATAGGAAGAGAGATGTAAGAGAACAAGAAAAAAGGGAAGAAACACTGGAGAGGGCTGCGTGCAAAACAGGGGTACAGAGCTGGGTGTGACACTGAATGAAGGGTGGAAGGCAAAAGCAAGGTAAAAAAAAGGTAAAATCATGAAAAATAGTTAATGAGTACTTTTAAATTTGGACTCAACTGAGGAAGATGCTATGTGCAACGCTCTGGAAAGATAATTTCTGATCCCTATATTAGTTTGTTGTTGGTGTTGGTGGACCTCAACTCCCTAGTTGGTATAACCCATTGGTCAAGGTGGGTTATACTGAAGTTAAGACAGCAAATTTAGCTCCTTGTAGAATAGCAGTCACTATGGTCCATATGGAACCACACTGCAGCTCACTATTATGGCACCCCATGCCACAACAGTGAAGTTCTCTGCTACAAAAATTCAGAAGCGGCCAAGAGCCATGCTATTGTATGTAGTAATGTCCATGTGATAGTGCGATGTTGTTACAGCATTTGGTTTCAGTGGAGTATCCATTGGTGTGTGAAATTTGAAGTTCTTATTTTGCACTGGTTTTCTTGACATTCTGATTGAATTTTTGCCAGTTTTATTTGCCTACTTACAAAGAAAATTGATTTAGGTGGTTTGAATATGTACAAAGAAGGCGGCATTAGTGAGGAGTGAATGACATGACTTTTAGTCCGGAGAAAAGGAGCAAAGGAAGACCCAAAAGAGCTTTGGATAAAATTATTAAAAGAAATCTCATGATAAATAATATCTAAAAGAAATTGGTTTTTGACCAAATTCAAGAGTGTCATGTGATCTATGTAGTTAATCTCATTTAGGTAGATAAGATTTGGTTGTTGTTTTATTTGTCTACTTACTAGGTAAATTTTAAGCAATGAATTTTTCTTGCAGGCTATTAATTCTCAGTTTTAATTGTTATGCACGTTTGATTTTTCTTGTTTTTGATTGGCTGTAGATCTGTGGTTAGTTGATCTTTGATAGTATTGTCCTCCAAAATTATTTTCATGCTCTTTTAATTGTTTCTTCCTTTTAGTGATTGGTTGGAGTGTGAAGTTTCTAGTTGTCATCATTTTGCTTATATGATTCCAATTCCGTTAATGTTAAATTTTTTACAATGAAATGTTGAAATAGCTTGGGCAGTGTTTTGCTTTCTTTGGGGTTATTGATTCAATCTTTCAACCTTCTCTCTTTGAATGCCCATGCATGATTTCTATGGGCTCATTGGTTGTGAAATTCTGATGTAAATTCTAAATGAGTTCATACATTGTTGTGTTACATATTTATTGTTCATACTGTGTCACTGTCTTAACATAGATCATTTGTTTTACAGACACATTTCATGAGGTCAAAAGAAAGAGAGACAAAAGAAAGGAGGTAAGATATTTATTTTAAGTCAGTGGTGGACTTCAATGATGTATTATTAATTGGCTCTTTTGGTTGATTATCTATTGTTTCAGTTTTTACTATTGTTGACTAGATTACAGTACTTGAAAATAAAAAGCGTATGGGCAATTTGTGTCTAATCATACCACACAGGGATATTATAATTGTACAACTTCAATTATAATAATTAGTATCGTAATTACTAGAGGAATCAACTCCTTAATTAGAGCACTAATTGACTATACTCATTACAAATATCTTAAGATATTTTTAAAACACCTGATTCAAGCCAGAGTTTATATAGCATATGCATCAATCTTGGAGTAGGGTTCTTCTTCTCTAGTAGTACTTCATTTTTGTTGGGGAGACAGACTAATGCGTCTCATTGGTAGGAGAAAGGATACATTTAGGAGTTTTAGAAGTTGTGTCGCTTGCCAACATGATGTGGCTCTTTTTATTTTACTTGTGTTCTAATTATTTTAAAAAAATTTATTAATCATTCAATGTAGTTGGCTAATTCTGTTTTTGTTTCTCCTTTCATTTGTTTATGATTTTGCAGAATCTTAACAACAGAGAATCTGTGGAGCCACGTTGGAGGCCTGGCACCCAAGGGCGGGGGGGAGGTAGGGGTGGTCGAGGAAATTTTTCACCTCATAATGCATCACATGGTGAATAACCATTCTCAACTACAACATATTTGAAGATTTATTTATTTCCTGTTAGTTAAATCCCTGCTTTTGTTGACTAATATAGTTTTTTGCTTTGACTACTTTAGGTTCTGTAGGTCTAGAAATGTTAGAAATAGTTTAATGTGTTTGAGCACGGCATAACATCATTTGGCTGTTTTCTACCACCTTAAATTTTTACACCAGTGGTCATGCTGTATATCTTGGAAGTTGTTACCTGGCTGTTTACATGAATTCCTTGTAGCTTATATGAAAAATAGTAAAATACCAATTATACTTATATCTGCATTCTAGTTTCAATTAATACTCAAATTAAGATATTATGTTAGCCTGTCATACCTAAATACCTAAATCAAGATTATATGTTTTGGACCTTCTCACAGATGCTGCTGGTAGCAAGAATTCCGGTACAGGAAAAGATAATGGAATCCCTCAAGTTACTGAGAAAGTTGCACTGCCTAAGACAGCTTCTCAAGAGACAATATCTAAAGAAAAAAGTTCTGGAACAAGGTGAGACCATATTAAGTAACTATTTCTATTTTTGTTTTGGTTGGCCATCCTCTGCCAATTACTTTACTGCAATGTGAATTTTGTCTTAGCACCTTTGGTTTGAACTACATGATTTTGCAGCTCTATACCTGCTAATGCCAATGGTCCAATAAGTGTAACTTCTGGAACTACTAGTGGTGTGAGTCCTCTCCCTTCATCTGCTGGAACTGGAGACAGAATGGGTCCATCTTCTGGTGATATGAATAAATTGAATAGTGCTTTACCCTCTGATAGTTCAAATAAGGTTGCAACGGTTGCTTCTGGAAGTGGACCAATTCTTTTCACCAGTAACCACCCAGGATCTGGACCAGCATCTTCATCAGCTGCCTATTTCTCTTCTTCAGACCCAGTACTGGTTCCATCTGATGATTCATGGTTTCCTGGTGCTGTTGGTGCAATCAAACGTGAAGTGGGAAACATACACCCTCTTGGGGAATTAAATGATGTTAACTCTGCTGAGAACAAATTAACTGCTGGTTAGAATATTTGATATTTTCTTACTTCCAAAATTTGTTAGTTTAAAGTTTTCCAATGTAATTAAAGAATAATTTATCCTCCTTTAACTTATGCCAGCTTCTGAGACTGCCAGTTCTTCTGTGCAAGGAAAGACTCTTGGCAAATCCCAGGGAGCACCTAAGAATCACATTACTGAGATGTCACCTGCGTCATCAACAGTAACTCATGCTAGCCCTTCCACTAGTCGGCCTTCCTCTAATTATAGTACCCGGTCACAACAATTAATTGGCCCTCAGAAAGGTAAATTACGTTTCTGCAGTTCAACAAGTACAGTTTTGGCTCCTGTGTAGTCCCTTGATGTAGATTTATCATGCCTGAATGTTTAATGCTCAAGCATTGTGTTTATTCTTCTATTGCTGTTATGCCCACCCTCCCCCAAAGCTTTGCATGCACAAGCATGTGCTTTTCATCATTAAGTAATGAATGAATAATGAAGAAGATATATCAGACTTATACAGGCAGAGGGATTAGTCATTGAACAGCTTTGCTCCATTGATATTTTTCTCTTTCCATATATGTTTTTTCTGCCTTTTTTCCATTTCAGAAGATCCCTTATCCTCCAATTTCATGTAATAGTCTTATTTTCATCTTAGTGATTCTTCTTTTGCATAAAAGATATACTTCTCTCTGCTTAAATAATGCAATTGACCAAATAATTGTGGAATAAATGTGCTTGTGGGTGGTGGACATAAAATTTTAAAATTTATATTAGAATTATCAATTACTGTTAATTAGGCTAGAGATTATTTTTTTCAGTAGATATTACTCTCTGATTGTAAATCAGCAATAAATACCTGAACATGTGTGTAGCCTAATTGCCTAACAATAATCTCAAGAAATCTCTTTCAAAATGATATCATGAGCAGTGGCATCTCCGTGACCTAATCTGCTGCCAGGTTTCCATATGGAACTTTCTTCAGTGCCTGATTTTACCGTCCTTCAATTTCTGGCAACTATCATTTTTCTAGCGACTTTCCCAATCACTTACCTGTGTCAAACTGCTTTCCTGTCCTAATTCTCTTGCAATAAGTGCAATGAGCAAGGTTGTTATGATTATGACTTTCCTTGAAGGATTGTTTGATCTTATGCTTTTGTGTGGTATCTTCTATTCCAATAATACTTGCCAACTCAGTTTGGTGAGATTGCTGTAGGATTGTTGGGCAAGCTTTGAAACTGTTGACATCAGATGGTTTCTGTGATCTGGATGAGGCTCCAATTAAATGATGGAATGGCTAATTTTCAAAGAAAAGAACCCATGGCCACCCCTGAAATTCAAAGAACCCAAATCTAAAACCTCTTTTTGGTTGTCTATTGATCTCTGTCCACTTTAATTTGAAATTTTTAGTTCTTATATTTTCCCCTATATATGAGTTACTGTCCGGTACCATTGGTGGCACTTCAACTCTGAGTGGTCTACAACTCTGCCTTTGGTCCTCCTCTTCATTTGATAGAGTTGATCAATATTGGTGGTGCTGCCCTGTATATGAGTCAGGGACCTGTTGGTGGATGGTTATTCCATCACGTGACTCTGTTGAAGCACTGGTTATTTTTTACTCATATCATACCTGGTCAAGGCCCCAAAAGACCAAACAATTAGTCTTTCACCAATGGAAGAGCACTTGCAAAGTCTTGGCTGTGTTTTGTGGGTGTTTTTGCCATGTCCTTTTAGTTCTGTTTTGTAGAAAGCTGTTCATTTCTTATATACTATATATTTATAACTTTGATTTGAGTTGTGGCTTTAATGTGTATTTTCATTTGGAGTTTAATTAAATGTGATTTTATGGTCGTCTTCATTGTTATTATATGAAATGTTAGTCTGGCATGAGGGTGAGGCACATCAATTCTAGGTTATAGGTGAAAATTGGATCCATTTTACAAATGACATAGAAAAGGAGGGGAATGTAAACATAGAAATCAAGCAAGGTGGATATAAACTACTGTTTATATCTTATTATGTAAGTTATTATGTGATTATACAGATTTTGTCATTATTATTCACCCAGCTAATAATCATACTCTGGTGTCTATAACTGTCTAGGTGTATGGTTTTAAGATATTGTAGGTGTATATTTGTATTAGATTTGCATGGCTATGCTGGTAAGAGTGAGTGCACTTATAATTTTTCCCAAGTACTAACTGTAGCCATTTATGATGATTGATTGGCTTGTTCTCCCAATGGTGTCAGTTACTCAATGTAGTTGAGTTGATCCCATTCAATGAAATATGACTTTTTTTGTTAGAGTTTGTTAGGTTAACTTGCACTAAATTTATAATTAGTTTCTGTTTCCAACAGCTGGCTCTAATAAGGAGTGGAAGCCAAAACCAACATATACAACTAATCAGGGTTCTACTCCAGTTAGTGCATCTGAGGCTCGGTCTATTTCAGCTGACACAACTGGGCAGTTACAGTCTGCATCTAGTGCCCTAGACTCTGAAGAGGCTACTACAAAATTGCAGAGGAAGCTGGAGGATTTTCATCTTCCGCAGCGTCAACATGTTATACTTCCAAACCATATCATTGTGCCTGATTCTGAAAAGAACAAGTTTAGCTTTGGAAGTTTGGGAGTCACTTTTGGAGTTAATACAAGCTATGTTAGTGGCCCAGAGAGTGAAAAGAGTTCCACATCTCTTTCTGAAACATCTCAGGCTATTGAAGAAACTGTGGAGGAGCGGGACTCAAGGTTGTAATGTTCAATCTCATTTATCCAGGACTTATAGTTTGATTTTCTTGAATTCTATTAAACCTAAGAAAGAATATAAATATAGGAGTATAATTATAAAAACACTTCCATCATGTTAATGGGAATAATAAGCTTCTATAATACCTTGTCAGCTGATTATGCATTTGACATATGACCAGGTTATGTAACTAGCCTATCATTGTCGATAGTTTTCTAACCTTTGAGAAATGAATCTTTGCCCTGGATAATGATAGTGCCTTCTAGTGACCTGTGTAAATAAAATTTATTTCCCTTTCAATTTTTCTTGGTGGCATAATGCTATTTTATAATTGCCTAGATATTGCTTTAACACTTGTATCTTGTATTTCTATACCCTTGTTTTTGTGGGAAAAAAATTAACTTAATTTCTACTAGTTTTTTATTTTGTTTTCTGATAAATCGTCTTTTAAACCTACAGTCAAAATGCTGCGCTGACTTCTGAGGTGGGAGATTATCCGGACCATCCTCAATCACCCACTAATGGACCTGAGAATTTGTCATCCAGTGAGGTTGATGGATCATCCAGTGCCATTCAGGAGTATAGTGAGTCCAAGCAAGAAACTGCTTTGCCATCTGGAGGTCATCAGTACTCAGGGGTTCAGACTTCTCCAAACTATAGTTTTGGTTTCGTGCCCCCAATGTTGGGTACTCAGCTAACACCTTTTGACAATTCTGAGTCTCAAACGCGTGATATTTCTCGACTTCCAAGTTTTATTGTGAGCCCAGCTACCTATTTGTGTTCTTTTGTTCATTGTTTTTATCATGCCTTTTCTCCTGATTAAAAATTTAATTTTTATCTTACTATAGGTCCATCAACAATTGGATCCAGCTAGTTATTATGCCCAGTTTTACCGCACGGGTGCTGATAGTGATGGCCGCCTTTCTCCTTTTTCTTCCGCTGGGGCTAACACCAAGTACAATGGCAATGTTACAGTGCTTCCTGCTCCAAATTCTCAGTCTCCTCAAGAGGTTTGCAGTGATATTATTGCTATTTAAATTTATTTTTGAACCAACCATATAAAATGTAATGTTTCAAAAATTGAAAATTCTGCATGTTGCATCCCCTCTCCTTGTACTGTTTTTTTTTGTTTTTTGGGTTTCATTTCTAATTGTGTATTTCCTACCATCAATTAAAATTCATTGTAAGGTGGAATTGGTTGGAGGCATAGGAGTGAAGTGGGGATATTTGTGAATAGAAGAGTTAAAATTGGCACTTCAGAGCCTGTTTATTTCTAGAGTTTCTGTCAAACTGTTAATTAAAATTCTCTGTTGGAGGTTATCATAGTTGTAGGAATGAAATTGGGAAATGTTAAGGATATAAAGTCATTCACAAGCCTCGACTTGATAGCTTGAGATTTTGGAAAATTGGTGTTCAATGTAGTATTAGAGTGGTGTTACCATCTTGTATGACCTCATCCCAGTACTATTCCACTACCAAGTCCCCTAAAATCTTGAACTCTCTCACATGGTACCACAGCCTAAATGGTCAAGTGGTGATCAGGAGTTTGATTACTGCTGCTACCCTCATTCTCCTAAGTAAAGCTAAACCTTAGCACTAAATTGAATCTAAGCATTATCCATGCTTTAAGCGAAGAGGACTCTTATGTGATGGGGAGGATTAGAGATTCAAAGCACTTGATGAAGCCTACCTAACAACTTAAAACGTTTGGGAGAGTTTGTACTTGACAAGATGCAGTGCTAAATAAAACACACAGTCAATTAGAGTGATAATTTGTCTTTAGCTGCTATGGTGCACTCAAAGTGATGATGCTTCTATTATTTGTTAGATTATTTTATTAGAAATGGACCAAGCTTAATTTAATCCTAAAAGCTAGCTCAAGGGGGGAAGCCTAAAAATCAATATAAGGAGTATTTTGACTATATTTCTTTTAACCAATGTGGGACATTCTCCCTCACCCAAGACTGGACATGGGGGTGGGCTAACACTAAGAATAAGACTGAATAGGCTCTACTACCATACTATATTAGAAATGGATTGGACATTTGGACTTAACTCCAAAGTCTAGCTCAAGGGGAGAGGATTGACCAATCCTTATAATGAGTATTTTGGCCATATTCTTAGCCAATGTTGGATGTCTTAACTGATTTAATAAGTATGTAAAATTATTGTGCTCTCATTCAACTTTGGTTTTTTTTTTTATAACTGGTCTATCTATGAACATGCACTCTCTTTTCTGTGTTGGCTTTGTGGCTTTTCTTCACACTTAACATGGGTTTGAGTTTTTTCCTATTGTACTGATGCTGGCAAAAACTGAATTCAAAATCATAATACTATTAAAATAATTTTTTAATAATATTTTTCTTGAAATAAAATAATGTCATTTTGAGAAATGAAAGGGAGAGATTGAATCTTTAAATACTTGAGCATTTATGTAATTTTGTTTTTTGACCATTTGATTGGTGTGCAAGAGATGAGCTTTTGAAGAGTTTATGCCATCTTATGTTTATTTGCAGGGAGGTGTCTTGTCCACGGCAGGTCCAACACCACTGGTGACTCAAGCTGCTGGCCTGATGCAAAGCTCAATACCCGTTACTCAACAGCCTGTCCCTGTCTTCCGACCTAGTGGAGTTCATATATCTCATTACCCTCCTAACTACATTCATTATGGTCCATATTTTTCACCATTCTATGTCTCACCTCCAGCAATCCACCAATTTTTGGGCAATGGCGCATTTCCTCAACAACCTCAGGCCAGCACTGTATATCCACCGCCCCAAGCTGTGGCTGCCACAGGAATGAAATATCCTCTTCCACAATTCAAACCTGGAGCAAATGCAGCAAACCCAACTCACCTTGTAATGCCAAGTGCCTACGGAGTATATGGATCCTCTCCAGCTGGCTACAATCATAATTCTGCAGCCACTGCCGGGAATTCAACCTCTAATGAGGATCTTGGTTCCTCTCAGTTCAAGGAAAGTAATGTATACATCGGCGGACAGCAGGTTAGTTCTTTTTGAATTCTCTGTCAAGAATTTTAATGAACTTTTATTTAAATGGCTGAAAAAAGACAACATCCACTTATAGAAGTTCAATTAAGTTTAGCTTAGCAGGTTCAATCACACTCCTGCAAGACAGTTATGAAAAATACATGCCATAGAATTTACTGCTTTGCTTGTTTTTTTATTTTTCGGGTACTGGAAGACCTTCATTTGATGATGATTATGTTCTGTAATTCCGCTGCAGAGCGAAGGCTCAGCAGTGTGGATGGCTGCACCTGGCCGAGACATTACCAGTTTGCCCACTAGTACATTCTACAACCTTCCACCGCAGGGTCAGCATGTGACTTTTGCCCCAACTCAGGCTGGCCATGGAACCTTTGCGGGCATCTATCACCCTGCACAAGCAGTGACAGCGGCAACAGTTCATCCACTTCTACAACAATCCCAGACAATGGCTGGAGCGGTTGATATGGTAGGACCTGGAGGCAATGTTTATCAGCAACCTCAGCACGCACAGATCAATTGGCCGAGCAACTACTGAGGTCACGTGTCTTCCTGACAGCTAAATTAGATAATTGATTCCTATCTGGGGAAAATTTTTGAGAAACACCAAAATAGGGTTGGATTTCTGCAAAGACGACATGGCAATTTGGCTACATTTGAGTGTAAGAAGCTGGAAAGTTTGCCAATATGATATTCTGATTGCCCAATTGGGGACATATGAAGGGTAGGACCCCTGTAACCGATATTGACCATTAAAAGTTAGATGAGGTAGAAACATATGCAGGCCTTGTCTTTTTTACTCCTGCTATTTTGTGTTACCATTAATACCTTTGTCATAGCTCCAAGCTTTTCCCTCCCTTTCTTTTGTTGAGGTCCTTGAACTCTCCTATTAAGAGTATTGTTGAGTGATGAGAAATGTCCATTCTTTCTTTCTAGTTTGAGTTAATAGGGTTTGGAAGGTTTAGGTTGGTGGGGAAAGCTTTTCTGGTGCCCCCTTTGTCTTACCTGTAAAGTGAATTTTGATAGCAAGAAAATTATTTACTTAAGCTGTTGTATTGCTATGGGCAAAGTGAACTACTCTCATTTGTTTTCACCTAATTGATGCCTCAATAGTGCTCGTCATGGTTTCCACTAAAGTTGGGTTAAGACTTGGTTTACTTTACTTGTGCTATTGATTCTAATATCTATAATATAGAAATATTTACATAAAAGTATTTAATTTTTGGATAGAGTAAAATATGCTAAAAGAAAAGAAAATAGGAAAATTGATATTTTGGAGAAGAGAAATTTCTGTGAAATATCTATAAATTATTACGCACATCACATGCTTTATGCAAGTGTATTTATTTTACAAATTTATCCATTTATAAAATTTGAAATACTAAGAAATTTTACATGACCATCTATTAGCATGTTCTTATATATCACATGCTTTTGTTCATTGAATTTTCAGCATCTCAAATGTTTTCAAACTTGTTAATACTGTATGGTGTGAGGGAATGTTTAAAAGGGAACGAAGGAAAGAGGATAGCATTTTCTTCTCTCTTTATTTGGTGAATTTGAAAGAGAGAAAAAAATTCCATAATTTTTTTAAATATGTGTTGATTAAATTATCTTGATAATTCTTTTTCTCCTCTATTGTGCATCTATGAAAATTCTTCCTTGTCCATTTTTTCTAGTATCATCTCATCCTGTATTGATATAACACTAGAAATTTAAAAGTTACAAAATAATGATTAAAATTTTAAATGATACAATAAAAAATAATATTATTTTCACGCGTGTCACTTCATAATTATACAAATTTTATCACTGATTTACATTTTTTTAATCTATTTTATGCACGTCTAAACTTTAATTTTATTATCTTTATTGAACTTGAGGTGATATGCACTCAAAATCAAAATATATACCAAATAATATTTTATGACAACATATAAATAAATAATAGGGTAAAATAATACACTTCATTTCTAGTGTTTTATCAATTTACGACCTTACCTGATTTTTTTTGTTATGACTAAACCTTCTAATTTGATTGAATAGAAATATGACTTTACGCATTTATTAACTCCAAAAGAATAAGATTAATATTCAAAATGTGAAGGTTGTGAAAATGCTGCTTGGAAAATTCTCAATGGAGTTCCTTATCACACTTTCTAGCGCTAGCTATGTAACAATTGAAGTGACAAAAAATAAAATAAAGTTACAATTCCTAAAATTAAAAAATAAACAAATGATGTAATAAGTACAACAGTTACGTTAATACCTAATCGAATTCTTAATTTCTACCGACATTACAACTCACCGCATTTCTCCTAAAGCTCATTCGGCACAAAGCCGATCTTATAAAATCAACCAACATTTATCACTTCAAGCAAAAGCTAACAAATTATGAAAATTAATAATGAAGTATATTTAAATAACACTCATCTACCTAAATAGGAATGCTCAACGTATGTTTATAAAAATAGAGAAATGCTAAAAAAATAATAAATATTATTAATAAACATGTTAAAATTCATAAAATAACATGAATTTCCTTTTTAAGTTAATAATTAATAAATATTATTTAAAATTTTATATTTTATAATAAATTTTAACAAATAATAAATATTAGGTTAAAAAGTTATAAATGGAAGAGTAATTTATTATGTCTTTTCTTTTCAAATACAATTTCATATTGTCACTTTAATCTTCTTTTTCTGTGGATTCTTATCCCCCTTTAGAAGAATAAAAAAAATGCAAAAGTTAAGTTTACGAGTACTCTAGATTGGTGTTAGATGAACATGTGCAAAAGTTATACTCTTATTTTTTATATACAACAATTTTAAGCCTCGATAACGAAACTTCATAGAGTTAATTATTACATTTTTTAATATAATTTTCTTTCTTTATTTATCATTCACCATAGCTCCGTAAATTAAATATTATTTTGTTTATTTTTTATATATTTTAAATTGTTAATTTTAATTCCTTTCACTTAGGTAATTTGATAAAAAAAAAGCATGTAAAAATTTATGTTTTCTAATGTTATTAGTTATAATTTATTTTAAATTTATGTTAATAAATTTTTTAACACATTTAGAAATACATATTCGATATATGAACAAAAATTAATACATCTCAACTTAAGTTAGCCATATTATTACTTATCTCTTATTAAAAAGTAAAAATACCAAATCAAAAAAATTGAATGTTTAGATTTTTCAGAGATTAAGAATAAAAAATAAATTTAAATAATTAATAATGATTTGTTAAAAAATATTATTATATTTTTATAATTACGTTTTTAATAAAATTTATTACTTTTAAATATGTTAACAAAACTCAAATTAAAATATTAAAAATATATTTAATAATTTATTTATTTATTACTCAGGAAAAAATAAAGAAATATATCCGGATTTTGGGGGAGGGGTTAGGAGCAAAGAAGGGTTGGGCGAGAGACAGTGGGAGTGAGTGGGAGAGACATGGGAGAGGGAGAGAACTTGGAAGTAGAAACAGAGACAGAAACAGAAGCAGAAGGAACATCAACATGGAACCTCGGAAAACATAGGCAGATACTGGAGTTATCGGAGAAGCTCATGAATGGAAACCTCAACACAAAGATTGAAGCTGCCAGAGAAATCAGGAAGCTCGTTCGCAAATCATCGTCATCATCCAAAACACGTTTGAAACTTGCCGCCGCGGGTGTGATTCAACCACTCGTCTTCATGCTCTCTTCTTCCGACCTCGACGCTCGTCAATCCTCTCTCCTCGCTCTTCTCAACCTCGCTGTTCGCAATGAACGGTACGCAACCCTACCCTCCCAAGATGCATCCTTTTTCTCATTTCTCAATTGTCTCTGCCATTTCAATTCAAAGGGTGTGAATGATCTTGCTTTAGACAAATCAATGTTTCAATTTCCATTTTTTTCTTTAATATTATCAATTTGAGAGTCTTAATGTTATTAGATATGCTTTCTGTTTTATTCTGTGCAGTTCTCACAACATAACGTGACATTTTTTACTGAGTTTCCGTGATTTAATTATTATTGTTTGTAGTAGGGGTGATTAGACGGAAAATAAAAAGAAAAATGCTATTGCTACAACAAATTTGTTGTAATTTTTCTACAAATTAGAGAGATAAGGGAGTGATTACATGGGTAATGTAATTGAGAGTGACGGAGAAATTTTTGTTGTTGTAGAAATTTGTTGTTAGGGTTGCTGGAATCATGCCGGGATGCCTCAGGGTACCTGCAGTGACATTCTAATGCTCAAGTTTGTTTTTGGATGAAGTGAGTTTATACTGAGTGTGTCTAGGCTAGAAATAAACACATGTGAGATCTTTTTTGATAAGTTCCCTATTTAATGTGCCTCTAAGTGGCATCTTTACCTGGACCTGCTAATGATTGTAGTGATGGACAGGAAAATTCTGTTACTTGTATGCCAACTCCTTTCGGACACGTGTTCTGTTTTTGTCGGAGGATGATTAGAATCGGGTATGGGATGCTCATTAAATTGTATCTAGGTTCTACCCAATCAGTCAAATAAGGGTAATGAATTGGGTCTTTTTGGTTGATGGAAATGTCGTTTCTATCCAATTAAGCAGGCAAGAATTGGCATAGGTTTTGGCCCATTGCCTTGATATGGTCAACTACCCGAACAATGGATAAAGAACATGGCATGAAGTTACTTGTGAAGATTGCTAACCTTCATAATTAAAGTGGATACTAGATTAATAAATTACTAAGCCGTAGTTATCTAACTGAGATTTGAATTGTGAATCAGAATACTTAGTTGTGAATCATGAATCGGATCGTATCATGAATAATAGCAAGATTCATGATCAATAATGACAACTAACATAAAATAGTTATCAATAGCGCATGTTCACAACACTTTCGCAGCAGAGCAGTGGACAGCCACCACACTTCAATAGCAGTACATTTTCTGTTTGCAGGTGTTGCAGCCCTAAAAGCCGCATTCTGTGGTGCTGTCCCTCTGCAATGGAGAAGCTGAATGCAGAATTCCATTTTGGCCCTCAAAACTGTGTTGTTTTGAGGGTTATTGAAGGGCAAAGTATCTTTTCAGTTTTTCATAAAAGTTAAAAATCCCTAACCCTGCTTTTTTTTTCCCCACGCTTTCTCTTCTCTATTCAAGACCTCTCTTCTCTCTGTTCTGCCTCTGTCGACCAAACATCTGCAGCAGTTTCCCGGCAACACTTCAACCTTGGCTCTTCTCTCTATTTTTCCATTCTGCTTCCTCTGTTCTGTTCTTTGCTGTTTCCTTTCTATTGTTTCCTATCTGCAACCTTTAAGATATTTTGATTTTCTCATTCTTTTTCGTTTTTAACTTGTATGCTTTGCTTAGGACTTGTTAATTTTTATTGATTATTATGAATATGTCATGATTCTCAATACTTTTTGAGCACTACATGTATAATTATGCACACAATATAGATTATATGTCTACATAAAAATTTTAAAATGCTGGTCAAACTTGCTATACCCTATCCGGCAATATCGTTTTGGGGGCGACTATGCACCTCTATCCAGGATTGATAATTATTCATAAAATATACTTTTAACATATAGAAACATTTGAAACATACTGATATATTAGCATTCTAAAGTCTAAATTCATTGCATAACCAATAAAATGAAATATAAACTTCAAAATGAACCAAGATTCAAGTCATAAATCAAATTACAACCAAAAAAAGTGACCACACAAGTTTAAGTGGTTCAACCATCAAAAGGAAAAAATATCAATTGAGATTTGACATCAAATTCTTGTTCCAGGTAAGTTCATCTAGTGTTATCTCATCCATCATTCCCAATATTCAATATCACTTAATTCATCCTCGTCCTTTGATATCAAAAACCTTGACATAAATGCATTTTTTTTCAAATGCCTTGAAACACTAACTCTTTATCTTTCAACATTCATCATTATCCTTTGTTTCATAGATGTAGATGTACCTTCCCTTTCCTAGGAGATGACTCCATTGTTCTCTTTTATTCATTATCATCTTGGGGTACCGACATCAAAACATTGTCGACTATTTGCATCTTCAGATTTTTTATTATTTTCTAACAACTTCAGAAACGGCTATCTAATTTTGTCCGGAACTGATGTACTAGCATTCATTTGTTCCCACAACAACATGGGGTAACACTTTCAGAGTGGTTCCACATGACCTGAATGTTTTTTTCTTCCTCTTTGTTTGACCCATTTTACCCCCACTAAAACAACATTGCAGCAATGACAGAGTAGGGACCTAGGGGACCAACAAACTGTGCAGCACTGTGGGAGGAAAAACAAAGACTTAAACACTATGGGTGTAGAGGGAACATGTCCAAACTCCAAAATGAAGAGGAAAAGCATCTTTAAGCCTTAATATCTAATATTCTGACTTTGAATCATGCAAGAGAAAGATATGTCGCTATCATTCCAATCTTATAAAATAATTCCTTTAGAACCAGAGCCTGACCTGTTTTTTCACATGTGACCTGGACATGCTCAAATTGCAACATTCAACTCAGATATGTCGTGATTCTTATGATCCAGAAGCCATTCAAACAATTCCAGGTTTGATTCTGAGTTTATTTCAATTCCCCTTGCAATTTATGTCCATTGCCAAAGAGAAACACGGAGCAAGGAGTCTGACATGTGTGCGATTTGCCAAGGGAATTGTATTGAATCACAATTTGAATAATCAATTTGTGTTTCTCTTAACCATGTAGTCGACAGTTTTTGAAGTTGCTCCACATCTTCCTGCACAAGTTACGTTCTTGTGAACCAGCAGCTGTGAATGTTACAAACCACAGGGAGAGAAATTTGCCATGTAAATAGATTGCCTACCTACAAGTATTAAACATGGACCAAACGTGAATTTTTTTTGTCCCTCTGTTTTCTGATGAGGCATCTTAAACCATACTTCTCAATTCCATACTAGTGAATTTTAGAATACGTGGCATTACCTCTATTACTTCCTATTAGGTGGTTCCCTCATTTAAAACAATTTGGTAGGATGCAACAGAAATTTGGCAGATCTTTTCAATGTTGAGCAACTTGATCAAGTTCAAGGATAATAATCCTAAGTATGCAATATTTGTATGATTGTATCTAATGTCTTGGCTAGGCTAGTGATGTTGATTTTTGTGAGCATTTATACTCTTTCTTCATATGAAATAAATATTTATTTTATGGTAATACACTGACAATTGAGAGAACTGGTTGTTAGCTATATAAATCCAATCTGATCATTAATATGAGTGCTTTTGCTTATCTTTGATTGCCAACTTGGCTGATTAGGTGAAAATTCTGGCAGACACTTTTGGGGTATTGCATATCTCAATTATTAATTTTCTGTTTGAACTCTATAAAATTCATGTTTACTGGATATGTTGTGCCTAACAAGGGCAAAGCATTCTGCATCATCTTCAACATTTTGTTTTACAGCTCTATTTGCATTACTTTGTGATTTTATGCTTTTGATCCTTCTCTTCATTCTTTTCTTTTGAGTTATGTTTCTCTTAGGTAGGAAATTTAGTTCTCTGTATAACATGTTGGAGTTCATGTGTATTAGAAACAAAGTCAAAATAGTGACAGCTGGTGCCATGCCTCCTCTGGTGGAGCTCCTTAAGATGCAAAATAGTAGTATAAGAGAATTAGCTACAGCTGCAATCTTGACACTCTCAGCTGCTGCACCCAACAAGCCAATTATTGCTACTTCTGGAGCTGCACCTCTCCTTGTTCAGACTCTCAAATCTGGAAGTGTTCAAGGCAAAGTTGACGCCGTTACAGCCCTCCATAATCTTTCCACTAGCATTGGGAATTCCACTGAACTTCTTGATGCAAGTGCTGTTTTCCCTCTGATCAACCTCCTTAAAGAGTGCAAGAAGTATTCTAAGTTTGCAGAAAAAGCCACAGCACTACTTGAAATCCTTTCCAACTCTGAAGAGGGACGAAATGCAATCACAATTGCTGATGGTGGAATCTTAACCCTAGTAGAGACAGTTGAAGATGGATCCCTAGTCAGCACAGAGCATGCTGTTGGAACTTTGCTATCATTATGTCTAAGCTGCCGAGATAAGTACCGGGAACTGATTCTTAAAGAAGGAGCAATTCCAGGTCTGTTACGACTAACAGTGGAGGGCACAGCTGAAGCTCAAGATAGAGCACGCACGCTTCTGGATTTGCTCAGAGATTCTCCCCCTGAAAAAAGACTAACCTCCTCAGTGCTGGAGAAAATTGTTTATGACATTGCTGAAAGGGTAGATGGAGTAGATAAAGCTGCTGAAACTGCCAAACGTTTGTTGCAAGATATGGTTCAAAGGAGTATGGAACACAGCATGAACTGCATCCAGCATAGGGCTGCATCTTGTACTCCTTCTGTGATTCCATCCACTTGATGTGTACCTTTTTTTCCTCATCAAGCAACTATGGACAGTTGAATTTTAACTTGTATATACGTGTTTTCTTTTCTTCTTCCCTTTTGTTTAATGGGGGCAATTAGTATGTTAGGTGATCATCTAAGCTGATCCACATGACTAGTATTGATGTTTACAAGACTAACTTGTGATTGATCTGTGACCTCGTCACTTGCAGTTACACTTGTGTATTTCACCTAGTTATGAACTTATGAAAGATTTCTAATTTACCCGTGCTATGCAATCTTCAATCGCTTAAGGGTGTGTTCAGAAAAAATTATGAAGAACTTGTGAAAATAATCTATGATTCTCATAAATTCTTTTATATTGATTTCAATAAGCTTCTTTACATAATTTATCTGGATAATTTTTTAAAAAAAATTTATGGCAATAAGTTTCATGATCTAGTTTGTGGTATAAACACATCATGAAATTAAAGCATATTGAAAAGATACTTAATTAAATTGTTATTTAGATGTTTCCTAAATACTTGTATAAATTTTTATATTACATGATTATTTTATATTTAAACGGATGATGTGTTAAATAATAATTGGTTTGGTTTACATAATTTGTATGAATACATTTGAACTAGAACTCCTCTGTCAAAAGCTTTAGAAACAATATATACAGAAACTAGTCACTTTGTTTGCTTGCATCTGAAGCACCTTTATTGATTCTATCCCTCTTTAGTTTTCATTGCAATAATAATGAGGGAAATGATTCTCTTTTTTATTTTAGTTAATGTATTCGAAAGTATCAAATTAATCTAATCAATAAACTTTTTGAGCAAAATAAACAATCTACATGTATTATAATACTTGATTGACTGTAGGTAAATTATTAACCAAATTCATTTGACATTCAATCAATCAATATAAAAATTAAAACAAATAAATGAGTCAATTATTTTCAAAATAATATAATATCCAAACATTTCTGTTGATTACTCTTAAATTATAATTTTTGAAAAAGTAAAAATAGTAACAAATAATGTTCAATTGAAGTGTAAAATATTCAATTATATATTAAATATCTAGGGGGAATTCAGAAGGAGGGAAGTATAATTGGATAAGCGAAGGACTATAATAACAATGAGTTTGAAATCATATCTTGACCCAAAATTTTAGAAATTTTCTTTTTCTTGCATTATTTATTTTTGGTCATTTGCATTTTTATATAACTTTTGAAATCTAATTTTTAAATGTGTATTTAATACAATTTTAAAATATAAATTTTAAATATAGTGTCCAAAATATAATATATTTTAAAATACTTTTAAAATTTAATTTTCAAAATATTTTTAAAAAATAACAAAAAGAAGGCAATACAACTACCAAAAATAAGTGGTCCAAAAAGTAATTTTAAGACCTTTAGACAGTCACTACATGAGCCTTTTTACTTTATACTGTCTTCTTCGCCTATCTCACTTTTAAAGACTTCATCATTCAGATTTGAATTTTCAACATTCTTCCACTCAACTGAAACTCTTTCTAGTATTTATGGGCTTATCAACCATGAGTCAAGTCTTTTCAATGTCCCACAACAAGAGAATTTATCTCTGCAATTTTTATTAGGGAATAAGAGAATTATAAAGAATATGAGAGCAACTCTTTTTTGTCTGACAACTAAGATTTACACACATTAAATTGTTTAACGTGAAATGGTTTTCTACTTTATACTATCATTAACATTTAGCATGAAAATGTTATAGATTTTTTTTAATATTGGTCAAAATTTTCAGCTTACTCCAACTATAACTAAGATAAACATCAACAATATCGATATTTAATTCTTTCATAATGGAATTAAGCTGCACACACAAACAGACTAATGATCACATGACTTACAGACTTTCATTAGAAATTAATTTATTAAAAAAGTGTGAAGAAAGTGTCATATATTGAATAAAAAAAACATGTTTTGAACTAAATATTGTCATCTTAGCCACACAAGAAGTTGTGTTAGTATTAACTACGACATTGTTAAATAAACCTAATGAAAAAATTAATTTGTTGAATAAAAAATTTATCAAACTGCATTAAAAAAATTAAACATAATTAAGGGATTAGGTAAATACTTGTCAAATTATAAGCATCAATGTTTTATCCATCTTATATATATAAAATAGAATCTTTACTTTTGAGAGGAGGATATTTTTTATTGTGTTTATTTTAAGATATGTGGCTTCATCATTATTTTTTTTTATAAATCTCAAATTATAAATTATTTTATATTTTCATTATTTTTTTATAAAATTAACTTTATCAAAATTATTACTTTTATTTTTATGTTAAAAATCATTTTCTCATATCGAATTTCAGTTATTTGTATTTAAAATTAATTTTTGAATACCTCTTATTCCTTAAAATTTAAATTATTTATACCATTTATTTATTTACATTATATATATTATTTATTATTTTAAATATTTTAAAATTTAAAATACTTATATGGTAATGCAAATACATGCTAGTCAAAAATAAGAAAAAAAATAAATCACTAAGAACATATTTATTTTCCTTTTTAAAAATAGTTTTTTATTTTTAAAAATAGAAAACTATTTTTAGAAAATAAAACAAACATAATCTAACTAATTTAATTATTTGAACATTTAATAAGTGACACTCTTCATAATTTTTGTTACATATTTTTTTATTTTAGGACAAATATTAGTAAAACACTTATATGCTTCTACAGTAATGTTATGTGCAATTTTACTACTAATTTAATAAAAAAATTATTTACTTATAGTCGATATTTTAAAATAATCTTATTGTTTTATACAGATACTTAAAAAAAAAACCACCTTAATATAAAAACACAACAAATATATATTTCACTTTAGTTATTAAAAAACATTTGCCTTCACTATAAAACCTGGTGTGAATGAAACCCTAATTTAACTGTCCAAAAAAGAGTAGTACACGTGGCAGCTTCAGCAGAGCAGAGTTGAGCGGCTGCGTGATAATGCTTCACTTTACAATTACCTTTTTGCCACTGTCGGTGACCAAGTACTTGTACTGTATATATATGGCTATATTGCCATTATGTTATTATTACTATGTCACCAATAACCCAATATCATAAATCATGTCCATCCCATTAATAATTAACTATTAAATATACATACCAAAAATATCTTAACTTTCTTGCTTTGCTTTAAAATTTTTTTTTATAGATATTAATTTATCAGCAAATTCTTTCTAGTAAAGTTGCTAAAAATTAGCAATTTCATCCTTTTATAAGCCAATTTATATTAACAGAACTTTTGAGGAATAAAAACACAAATAATCAAATTAATAAGTAATATCATAATAATAATACACAGAATGCATTGCCATGGGTGCGCATTACGCCAAGATCTCCAATCTCAACACGTCATTTCAGATTTTCTTCCATGTCGTGGGGCGCATTCCGCCCATAGTTTACTGTATCACAATCTCACATTTTCTTCCCTTCCTTTTTTTCTTCTTCTTTTTTTAGTTTTTAACTGTAAAAAATTTGGTTTTTGTGTTGACAACTTGCATTACCTTGGCACAGCACAAAAACCTTTTTGTGAGTGAGAGAGAGAGAGAGAGAGAGAAAGGGTGTCAGTGATGCCCTTTTGCTTGATTCCTCATTTGTGAAGATAACAAGATTATCAGGTTAGTAATCAATTTTGCATTCAGATCTTGCAATTTGGATAAATGGGTATTTGGTTACTCTCCACAATTTAGCTTCTTCTTCTGCTTCCTTTCATTTTCAGATCTTCAAATTTCAATATCTGTTTTCTGCTTCTTTTTTAATAAAAAAAATGGAACTTTTAAGCTCTTTTCGTTGTTTTATCTCATTTTAGCTTACTGGGTATCATTGTTTTTTCATGTTAATGAAGGATACATATCTGGGGGTAATCTAATTCACAATAGCAATGTTGAGTCGGTCTGCATTTTCTAGAACTGGAAGTTTCAGGCCTGAGAATTTGGGTCAGAATGCCATGGCTATGATTGGTAATGTTTGTTTCTCTGTGTTTGTTATTGGTGTATTGGTCTTTACCATTATAGCTGCCACTTATGAGCCAGAGGATCCCTTGTTTCACCCTTCAACCAAGATAACCACATTTCTAACTTCCAAATCCAATGCCACTTTCAAGTCTGATAACACTGTTGTTAGAACTGGGGAGGATTTCATGGCTGCCAATGAAACTGTGTTTGGCTCCATTATTAACTCAACTGATGTTGAAAACTTGGTTAATGCCGAATCCGGTGGTGGTGGTGATGCTGCTGCAGCCTCTCAATGTGATGTGAGTGGCCCTATTGATTGTAGAGACCCTGAGGTTTTTCATTTGATGATGAGGGCAACCATTGAGAAGTTTCAGGATATCCATTTTTACCGATTTGGGAAACCGGTTCACGGTTCCAATGATAGTACTTGCGATATGGCATGGCGGTTTAGGCCTAAGGAAGGAAAGGCTGCTGCATTTTACAAGGATTATAGGAGGTTTGTGATTGATAGGTATGAGAATTGTACACTTAGTGTTGTTAGCATTGGGGAATACCATACTGGTGTGAATGCAAGGAAGAGGAAGAAGAATCAGAAAGCTGGGCTAGAGAAGACACCACCGAAGCTGGACATGTTAAATGCCTTACCTGTTGTTGGAGAGGTTGTTAATGACAGCCTCCCTGTAGTCGAGTCTGAAAATTCGTTTAGTCATGGTAAATACTTGATTTATGTGGGTGGTGGAGACAGGTGTAAGAGCATGAATCATTACTTGTGGAGTTTCTTGTGTGCCCTTGGGGAAGCTCAGTACCTAAACCGAACATTGGTTATGGATTTGAGCATATGTCTGTCTTCAATTTACACTTCATCAAAGCAGGACGAAGAAGGAAAAGATTTCAGATTCTACTTTGATTTTGAGCATTTAAGGGAGGCGGCATCTGTATTGGACAAGGATCAGTTTTGGGTGGATTGGAATAAGTGGCAACAAAAAGATGGGATGACACTTCATCTTGTGGAGGATTTCAGGGTCACCCCCATGAAGCTTATGGAAGTGAAGGATGCTTTAATCATGAGAAAGTTTGGATCTGTTGAGCCGGATAACTACTGGTATAGAGTCTGTGAAGGAGAAACAGAATCCATTGTTCAAAGGCCGTGGCATTTGATATGGAAATCAAGGCGGTTGATGGATATAGTGTCTGCAATAGCTTCAAGGTTAAACTGGGACTACGATTCTGTTCATGTTGTGAGAGGGGAAAAGGCAAAGAACAAGGAACTTTGGCCTAATCTTGATGCACATACATCTCCTGATGCGCTTCTTTCAACTTTGCGGGACAAGATTGATGAAGGAAGGAACCTCTACATAGCAACAAATGAACGTGATACATCTTTCTTCGACCCTCTGAAAGATAAGTATACCACTCATTTTCTTGACGAGTATAAGGATCTTTGGGAAGAAAATAGTGAGTGGTACACTGAGACAACAAAACTCAATAATGGTATTCCAGTAGAATTTGATGGTTACATGAGAGTATCCGTTGATACAGAAGTGTTCTTGAGAGGTAAAAAGCAGCTAGAAACTTTCAATGATTTGACCAGTGATTGCAAGGACGGTATTAATACCTGTAATGTTGCAGCAAACTAATGTGTGAAATATACTCACGTGTACTTTTAGCTGTTATATGTGTTGCATTTGAGAATTTGTAACCTTTAGTTTTAACAGTGAGGAGTAAAATCGTTTTGTATTGTAAGAGTAGTGGCTACTTTGAAGTTTTGTTATTCTTAATTGAAATTTGTTTCGTGCTTAAATACCCAAGTATTATCCGTGTAGATGCTGAAACAAAATTGCTTATTTTGATCCTATTTTTTATGTTGTGCTTACCCTTTTCTACGCTAAATTTTCTAGAAATTCCAAGGTATAATAATAGCTATTTTAATTGTCGATTTGTTTGGAAGGTGGCATAAGTTATTTTTGGTACTTGATTTTGTTCCCTATATTGAGGCATGGCATGGCTGTAAAGACATGAAAGATATTTTCCAAAGATTGAAATGCTTTTCTTCATTACCATAAAGACAATATGAAAGGGTTGTTAAGGAAGCTTTCAATGTGCGTATGAAGATGTTAGTGGCAGGTTAAACATTAAGTAGAAAAAGTGTTTGTTAAGCTTTCACTATTCTAAAAAAACAAATCTAAAGAGACACAAAACAAATCACTCACGAGTAGGTGAATTGAATGTACGTTAAAAAAAGTTCCAACATAGTCCTTCCCTGGTTTTCAATGTGTTGTCATTTGCTTTTTTCAGTGTTATGTCCTGCGATGACACTTAAATTCATTATGGTGTTACACATTCTTTTAATATTAGTTTTCAAATTGGACAAATTTTTGGTGGCTTAGGAAACCCGGTAAATTAAAGAGAGAAAAAAGGGTCCAGATTCACTAAAAAATAAGCTAAATATGATCAAAAGTTGTTAAAAATCAATTCTAGAAAATTATTTTGAATATTTTTTTTAAAAAAGCTGAATTTTCATTTTATAAAAAAAATTTTAAAATATTTTTAAAAATAAGTAAAGATTTACGTGAGATTTACACATTAATTGTTATTATTTAACTATTCAATATAATTTGTTTCTTCTGTAAGATATATAATATGATATTTTTGCGTTAATTTAAATTCTCACTTTACTCAATAAATTTATAATTTTATGATTTATTACTTAATATATTGTACAATATTAAATATATAGTACCCGTGTTATGTCCAACAAAAATTGTTTCAAATTATCTGATCATTATAAATTCAAGACAATATTATTACCTCCATTCCCATTTGTTTGTCCGGAGAGAGAAGAATAAAATTATCTCTATTTATTTGTTCACGTAAAATTTCAAGACTATCACTATTTTTTAACTAATATATTTTTGCTAGTATAAAAACTTTATGAAAAATAAATAAAGCATTTACACTAATTGAGTAGTCCAAAGGTAAAAAAAAAGTAAAAAATTAACAAATGAGCAAATTATGAAGTTTATCAATTAATCCTAACAAATAAATAGTTTCTTTGATTTAGACAAACCCTTCCCTCTTTAGCCAAATAAATAATAATAGATGTAGTAATTGCTTTTCTTTCATTAATACCTTTTTACTCATATAGATATTTGAAGTACAATAAATAAAGTATTTACACTACTTGAATAGCCTAAAGGTCAAAAAAGAGAGATCCACTGATAAAAGACAAATTAAGAAGTTTATTACATAATTCCAAAAAAAGAATTAGATTTTTTAGTTTGTTGTAATTTTTTCTCTATAAATAAAAACACAGATAATATTTGATTATCAGTTTGACTTCAATTTAACTTAACTAAATCAATGAACAGTGCACTAATGATTTCATTGATTCAATAATTGGTATGATTTTGAACTGCATTTGACAAAATAATGCCATTTCCATTTACTTTGTCGGAGAAAGGGTCAATTTAACCCGTGTTTAGTAATCGATTATTTCTGAGAAATAATAGTTTTCTTTTGCGAAAGGTTTCTTACGAAATTGACAAAAATGTTTTACTAAACCAAACGTGTACTAATTTCGAGATGAAAACTACACAACTAGTGTATACATCAATTCTTTGAGCCATCAGCAACACAGTTCTAACTTGAGGCACAATAGTGCGTATAATTTGTTAAACTATTTTGAGTAATGAAAATAGCACACTAATTATAAGGAGGGGCAGAGTATAAAGGACCATAAAATGTTGAGAGAAATCATACAATAATATTAAAAAATGATGTACAAAAATAACAAATTCAGAGAGTAGCTCTATTGTATCAAATTCATGTTGTACAAAAACACAAACCATAAATTTGGCAGGCTCTGAATGACTCTGCTCATGCTGTTGTGCATTATGATGACACTAACATTTATCTTAAACTATTGTTTTTCCCCCCATCTCAGACAGGAAGTCAATTTTTCCATCATTGTAGATTACTTTTGCGGATCATACTACCGAGTCTGTTTGGTTAAACATGAAAACCAAGTTTTTTCCCTGGACAGAAAATCATGTTTCAAAGGGAAAAATTTTCAATTCCTTCCTGCACTACAAAAAACAGGCCTTCAATGACTGCTGGAGTACCCTGGTTTCCCTTTCTTATCCTTTCATGGCAGTTGTTTGCTTTGATAATTTTGACAGGGAATCTAAATGAAGTTGTAAAAAATGGTCATTGTCACCACTTGGTAAAAAGTGTCGTTCTTTACAACAAAACTGCTCATTGTGATGAGTTTTCGGATGGTATATATCCGCCTAAAAGCTGCATCTATAACAGCTTGTTTCTAACTTACTCTCAAAAGCAAACTCAGATTTTTTCGCTCTTCAACCCTGCAACCTTATTTTTCTCTCTTAAGAATGGCATAAACAAAATTCATGTGTGCAAGACCAAAACCTTATTTCAAGGTAGAACTGTGTTTATTTTCCCCTAGCCTTTGATTTTTTTACTTGAACTAGAGTCAGATTTTGGCCAGGCTTGTTGGTTCTGGCCTCTGAGGATCTTAACATTGAAATGGCAACTTGATGCTGGTTTTTTTCCACCTTGTCATCTGCAAATGATTTGACCTCGAATGCTCCTCTAGTGAACCCTCTGGCAACCTGAAGGATTACAGACAGCAAATCAGTGCTAAGCAACGCAGGACTTCAAAATTATGAGCATCTGAAATAACTGACACATCAATCATTTTCATAGAAATGCTTTATCAATCCAAAATCACATTGGAGTGCTAGTGGAATACTCTTTTTAACACCCTCTTAGTTATTGGGTAAAACTGATTGAAAACTAAAAGAAGTACGTGAGAATAATTAAATTAGGAATAAAAATCATTAAATTATAAGTGGATCCCCATGTTTTTTGTGATTGTTAATAAAATTCAACCAATAAATAGGAGTGTGTCAGAAAGAACATGTTAGAGAGTGTGTTACTAGCATTTATCAAATCACATTTAATATAGGCTTTTCCACCAAAAATCTATGAAAAAAATTACCCCATTAAAGAAAATTCCAACCTAGCTTTTCTGAAGAGCTCAACTGCGCTTGGGTATCATTCACTAGACAGAAATGTGATATGTAGTGAAAGATGAAGTCTAGGAAGCATTCATGAAATAGAGGATCCAAATAATGATGATGATAATGACACAAGTGAGGGATTTGCCCACACCTTGTAATGTAAATCCAACCCTTCCAATACTCCCCTTAAGCTATGGCTGGTTACAAATATAAAGTATGGTGACAAATTAACAATGGCTTTTGTAGCTAACCTGTGGGCATTAAGAAACTAATAAATAGTAAGAGTTTTTATTGGAAATCACAGAGGGGAACATACTATCACATTTTTCAATGAAAAAAAATCTACCTTTGATTCAACTAGTGCCCTAAGTGGGTTAGCATTTTCCATTAACAGCTGTATAAGCATAGCAACAATCATTGAAGCAAAATATCCATTGATCAGTTATACCTTCAAGAGAATCCAGACTTTGAGAGAACTGCTCAATACTGCAAGTCTTGTCTTTTTCCCTGAAGTCAGGTACTCACACATATGATGGTCAACCCTCAGAATAAATTTCGGCCACGACTTGGGCTTTTCAGGATCTGCCTTATGGTCCATTGTTGCCTGGAATATGAATGAAGACATACAAGAAATCACAAGCACTACAATGAGTAACAATGCTATGGAAGTGAACAGAAAACTATTATAATATACAGAAATGAGCAACCAATAATTAAAGAAAAAAGAAGAAAAATACTAGCTCCAATTTTATTTATAAGAAACAAATACTTAATTCATCAAGATAGATAAAAAGTAGTTATATATTTAAATTTATACTTTGTTCCAGAAATACCTATAGTATTAATTAGTGTCTTCCATATTAAATGAATATATGTATCCACTTATATGAATTAAGGGTGACTACTTTGGTAACATAAATCTCATAATAAATAAAGGTATAAAAAGAATTTAGCAATTAATGCATTTGAAAATAGGTTTTTAATTATTATATTTTGGATAAAAAAAATTTGATAGTTATTTCTCATAAATAAGACCAGAAATAATATATTTCAGCAGGAAATATGCATTAGGGCAGGCCAATAGGGAGACCCTAAAGTCCTCTTACACAATAGATAAAGCTTTCACAATTCTAGGTGCCCAAGGCAATGTCAAATAGAACTTCTCAATTGTCTTTGACTCTTAGATTCTAGGTTTCTTTTTCTCATTGCTCTTATCGCTAAAACAAAATTCTGAGATTGATAATGTCCACTTACAAGAAGCCGACAGATTTGCTGTTCAATTTTGGAGAAGGACGTCTCTAAAGCTTCAACCCTGCCTGCGGCATGGCAACAAGCACATGGTTCACTTATCATGAATGTCACACTTGGTCGAACCTGTTAACCATTGACAAAGCATTTGTAATTCATTACAATGAATCTTAATAAACTAAATTGAGTGCTCCAACAGTTATCAGAGGAGAATGCAGCTTAGAAAAGAAAATGATAGTTCAAGCATTATTCTTTTCAATCTACAGCCATTTTAGAGTGTCAGTGAGTTGAAGCAAGAATGAAGGATGGTGATTGACAAAAAAACAGGAAACGAAGTAAATTTGGGATACTATTTGAGAAGTTATACTTGAATATAACCATTGGAAGTAAATATAACAAAAGAAAAGGAGGGGAAAGTCATTTAATGTTTCATTTGGAACACATCTATCTATTTCCACACTTGTCCTCAATTTTTCCATTTGAACAAATCCAAATGTAGGCATATGTTTTGCATCAATGTACAACCATTGTAATGTTGCAGTATAGACTGTGCATAGTGACAATGGGGTGATATATAGCTAATACATTCACCATAGACTAGCAACATACCCTCTTTCGTGTTATTTCCATAAGTCCATGTCTA